AGAGGGGGAGGAGAACCTCTCTTGACCTGCTTTGGGATGTGGTTTGGTGGTGGCCTTGGCAGAGTTAGGTTAATGGTTGGACTTGATGATCTTAAAAGGTCTTTTCCAACCTAAATGATTCTGTGTTTGGGAGCAGCAGCACGGGCAGTGTGGTGTTTGGGAGCAGCAGCATGGGCAGTGTGGTGTTTGGGAGCAGCAGCATGGGCAGTGTGGTACTCAGAGGCTGACTCTGAAACTTCACTGCCTTTCTGGTGACGGAGAAAAATAATGAGAGAAGTTTTTAGGTGCAGGCTTCTCAAAGGCAGGGGATTTCTAGGCATGAAGGAGCAGGTTTAGGGGCTGAGAGAGGCTCTGAATCTCACTCTGCTCCCTTCTCTGCCAGCAGCTGAGCAGAGAGAGCTGTAAGAACTCTCCTTTCTCCCCAGTCTGGAACATGAGCAAATGAACTGCGTTGCTGGGAAGAGCAAACAGTGGCTCTAAAAGGACAGCGTTACCCCAGGCAACAACCAAAAAAGCTGTCACTGGAGCTTGTTCAGCTGGAGCTCATGGAGGTTTATTTGTCTTTGCCTTTCTCCCCCTCTGTTGCCAAGAGTGACAGTTACATCTCCATTTTCCCACAGTACAGACCTGAGCTTGTTTCAGGAGGGCAGATCCACAGCCTGGTTTTTCTGCCCACGTTCCCTGTGGTGCTGCTGTCCAGGCTGCAGGAGCTGGGTGAATTCCAGCCCTTCTCCTGCCTCCATGCTCCCGCTGGTGTTTGCAAAGCAGGGCTGGGCACACAGCTCTCTGCTGCTCTCTGCTTTGCCACCGTGATAAGTGGCCTCTCGGCTGCATGGTACTACTTGTCCTGTAGGATTTATCCATCACAAATGAAGTGACACATGTTCTCTCTGTCGTTCTCATTCTCTGGTTTTGGGGATGCTGTGGGCTGCTCCTTGGTCTAGGCAGTCTCAGTACAGCTGCTCCATCCTCTCCCTGACACAGGTCAGCTCTTGCTATCCCAGCTCATATAATGGTGATGGCTGGGAGGGAACTGCCTGTCTAGGTGCCCAAACAGTGTGTAACAGACAATGTGAAAAACCTGTCCCTTGCAATTCACTCACCTGTGTCAGGGAAGCTGCTCCACACCAGAAGGTGAGCTGGGAGCAGAGAGTCACTGCAGGGCAGGTGGGGGCACCCAAAAAATTGCAGTACAGAGCTGGTGAGGGCAGCCAGATTCATCTAACAGTCCACATCACTAGGTAATTCCATAGCTGTGATGTCTGCGATCAAGCCAGGAATTCAGGCCAGTGGGTCAGGATCAGGGCAGCATGGGGCTGGGTTCTACCATATCTACCACATCTCAGGCAAGAATCAAGGGCCAGCACCTCAGTGGAAATGCAGCTCTTGAGAGATGACAGGGAGACCCCACAGGGGCTTTCTCAGGTAGCTTGTTGCATAGTCCAACCCAATGTGTTGGGTTGGAAGGGACCCTCAAAGGTCATCTAGTCCAACCCCCCTCTAGTGAGCAGGGACATCTTCACTAGAGCAGGTTGCTCAGAGCCCCATCAAGCCTGACCTTGAATATCTCCAGGGATGGGGCCTCCACAACCTCTCTGGGCAACCTGTTCCAATGATCCACCACCCTCATACTGAAGAACTTTTTCCTTCACAGCTATATGATATCAGAGCTGGCCTTGAGCACCAGCAGCTACACTCCCAGGAGGGGAGGATGATGCTGCCTAGCTTCTTAATGCAATTAGGACCCTTACAACGTGTCCTGCAATATGAGAGCTTAAGGTAAACAAGTGGGGAAGCCCAGTTTGTCCCTTGATTCCCTCTATTCCCTCTTTTTTTTTCAGACCAAGTGTGAGCACAGTATTTTCCGGGATCTCAGGATGCAGCTCAATCTGACTAAGGAAGGGTTGTGGACCCCAGGAATCGGTACTCCCCTTTCCAGAGCTGTTCCCAACAAGACTCAGAAGGAAGACAAAGAGAAAATCGCCAAAGAGAAGGATTTCAACAGAAAGGTGAGGACTGGAGAGACACATTGTGACATGGTTGCTCTGTTTCCATCAGAGGTGGTTGGGACGTGTAGAAACCAGGGGCTGTGAAATTTTAGTACTTGCTGAACAAAGGTACAGCTCACATCCTGAACTTGCAAAGGTGAATCATAGAATGGTTTGGGTTGGAAGGGACCCTCAAAGGTCATCTAGTCCAACCCCCCTGCAGTGAGCAGGGACATCTTCAACCAGATCAGGTTGCTCAGAGCCCCATCAAGCCTGACCTTGAATATCTCCAGGGATGGGGCCTCCACTACCTCTCTGGGTAACCTGTTCCAATGATCCACCACCCTCATACTGAAGAACTTTTTCCTCATATCCAACCTAAATCTCCCCTTTTCTAGTTTAAAACCATCACCCCTCATCCCATTGCTCCATGCCCCTGTGAACAGTCCTTCCCCAGCTTTCTTAGAGGCACCTTTCAGGTACTGGGAGGCCACTAGAAGGTCTCCCCGGAGCCTTCTCTTCTCCAGGCTGAACAGCCCCAACTCTCTCAGCCTGTCCTCACAGCAGAGCTGCTCCAGCCCTTGGATCACTTTTGTGGCCTCCTCTGGACTCGCTCCAACAGGTCCATGTACTTCTTGTGTTGAGGGCTCCAAAGCTGGATGCAGTACTCCAGGTGAGGTCTCACCAGAGCAGAGTAGAGGGACACAATCACCTCTCTTGACCTGCTGGCCACACTTCTTTTGATGCAGCCCAGGATATGGTTGGCCTTCTGAGCTGCAGATGCACATTGGTGGCTCATGTCCAGTTTTTCATCCACTACCACCCCCAAGTCCTTTTCCTCAGGGCTACTTTCCATCTTATCATCTCCCAGCCTGAAACAAGAGACATCTTTTCTTTTTCTCCAATAGATGTCCATCACACCCAAAATCCAGTTGTCAGATGCCACTGTAGAAGCTGACAATGTCACCAGCCTCAGCCTTGATGGACAGGTAATTATGTATCTCCAAAGAGAAGAAAAGACTGCTAGACCATCACCACGCCGCTGTCTCACACCTCTCATGCAATTAAATTCTTAAAGAATGAATTGGACAAGGGATGTTTTAGGTAGATGCCATCCTGGAGTTCTTCCAGAGGTGGAAAGCAGTCTAGCATTGGGCTAGAAGGTCTCCATAAATAATCAGGTGTTTATTTCAAAGGTGTTTCTTTCATATTTTGGCTTCTTTCTCAAAACATCTAGAATGTGTATTCATTCTGCAAGCAGATTGATTATCTGGGCTTTTTCCTAGACTGGTTTCTTGAGCTGAATTTTGCTGCTGTAAATCCTTGTGAGGGCAGGTTATAAAACAAGCTGTATCTCTGCAGCTTGCAGAGGATCTGCTGAAGATCTATGGCTGTACGCTCAGCCTTTCATCAGGCCGGTAATGGCTCCAGACAGCACAACACTGAGAGAGCAATGTTTATCTTCACAGCAATATGTTGAAGCAGGAACGTTCCTGGTGATGGAGATAAAGCTGGACAAGGCCTTGGTACCAAAGCGATCGCGAGAGGAGCTCGCCAAACGGTGCGTCAGGCTGTGCTGTAACTCTGGGGCAGACAGCTCATTTCTGCAGGGTAGACATGGAGGTGCTGGAGCGTGTCCAGAGAAGGGAACGGAGCTGGGGAAGGGTCTGGAGCACAAGTGTGCTGAGTTCCCTTGTGGCTGAGGGAACTGGGGGTGTTGAGCCTGGAGAAAAGGAGGCTGAGGGGAGACCTTGTGGCTCTGTCCAAGTCCCTTGGAGGAGGGTGGGGAGAGGTGGGGGTGGGTCTGTTCAACCAAGGACCAAGGGACAGGACAAGAGGAAATGGGCTCCAGTTGTGGCCAGGGCCGTTGAGATGGGATGTGAGGAAGAATTTCTTTGCTGCAAGGGTTCTGAGGCATTGGAAGGGGTTGCCCAGGGCAGTGGTGGAGTCCCCATCCCTGGAGGGATTGAAGAGTCGTGTAGACACAGTGCTGAGGGACATGGGTTAGTTGGGGACTTGTCAGTGTTGGGTTCATGGTTGGACTCGATGAGCTTAAAGGTCCTTTCCAATCTGGGCAATTCTGGGACTCTGTGATTCTTGGGCTCCATTCAAAACGCTCTGTCAGCTTCTCCTTGCCTCTCTTCGCTCTCTTGCTTTCCCTGGGTTGTGGTTGGTTTTCTGTGTCTGGTCTGAAAGTGAAGCTGTTTGGTTTTCATCTGTAGCACTGGTGGAGGTGACACAGCAGTGACGGGTGCTGCTCTGACGCTGGGCAAGGGTGGGACTCCGAGTCTGGGGGCTGTGCTACCCACTTGTTCAGGCTTTTTGGCTTCCCAAGGGGTGGTGACAGGTCTCTGCAGAGCAAGGGGACCGCCCACAGCCACGACACTGGACTGCACAACAGAGAGTGCGGGAGGGGTTTGTGTGGGAGAAGTGGATGACGCTCAGGATCTGGAGAAGGCAGCTGGTGAGGAGCTCTGTGAGCCAGCAGGACACTTACAGGAGTTACAGCTTCTATTTGGTGGGGAATAAGCAATTTGCTTGGTGTAAGAGCCATCACAGGGATGGTGACACCTTTGCTTTGTGGGCTGGACTGTGTTCTAAGGACTGAAGGTGTTTTGGTACCAGCAAGCAAAAAATCTTGATAAAATCCCAAAGAATTTAGACTGTTTTGACATCGAGGATTTTAATAAATTCTTAGTAAAAACTATGGTCAACCCAAGGGCTTTTGATTCATCTTTGAAAGGTTTTTGTAACCCTTGTAGTGGTGTAAACGTGGCCAGTGTGGTGTCTAAGGGTCAATGCATGGCCACGGGGTGAGGTGCCACAGATGCACTGTGTGATGTTGGGAACTGATGGATCTGGTGGCCCAGGGTTCACAGTGATCAAATTCTTCAGAGCTTTCCTCAGCTTGGTACCTTTCTTACAGCTGTTCTGGCTGACCCAGGAGGTTGTGAGTTAAATCTGCTTCTGTAGGAGAGTGGTTTTGATTGCTGGCAGTAACAAATGTTAACCCTACCTGCTGGGCTGAGCTTCTGCCATCGTTTTTGTGTGATGGGCCAGTCAAACCTGGTGAAAACAACAAAATAAATCTCTAATCCTCAGGGAGTGTAATCATCACCAGGGAGTGAGGCAGCAGCCAGTTCTTTCAAGACATTATGATGAGCTGTAAGCATTGAATGTAGGGGCCTGGTCTTTACAGTTCATTCTTGGTCTGAGACCTCAGTTTCCCCCCGCTCCCTGGGTCCCTGTCAGGTGTCTCAGGGGTACGATGACAGTCTGGAGCCCTTGCACTACAGGGCTGCCCACACCCAAGACAAGCCAACGTTGCTGGTGGTGCATCTGGCTCATCTCCTCTGTCCTCTTGTTGACAGGGTCAAGCAGATGATTCCTCCTCGCCCTCCGTTGCCTCCTCGGACCACAGGAGCCAAGAAGGTAGGTGCAAAAGCCTGTGGCCTTGGCACCACTCTGCCACCTCATCCTCCCCTCATCCCTCTCACACAGGAGAATCTTCAGTCTCAACCTCAGCCCCGCAGCAACATGTAGATGAGGTTTGAAGAGGAAATACAGAGAAAAGAAAACTTCTGGGTGTGTTATCTCCATAGTAGTATGACTTGAGAAGTCATTCCTGGGCTGCATCGCTCATGTTCACAGCCCATAGGAAGAGGAGAGATCTAGGGAAGGCAGCAGCATGGGGCTGTGTGGAAGAAAACACAATGCTATGGAAAAGAAGCAACCAGGACCTTATGTTCACCCTGGGCAGTCCCAACAGTTTCTTGTCTCAGATTAGCTCATGTGTTTCATCAGACCCAGACAAATGTGAATCAGCCCTGACTGCTCTCAGGTCACTCAGAATTTCTGAGGATTTTTGTGTGTGTGACATCCTCAGAAAATGGTCTGAGAGTGCTGGCTCATCTCCTGTGGGTACAGAGCAGCTGTCGAAGGAGAATGTCCTTGGTTGGCCCCTGGTAAATTCAAAGCAGCAGTGGGGGAAGATGCAAGACTTCAGTAAGTGACCCCAGTGCTGCTGCAGAATTGGTTTGTACTGGATGGTCTGGAGTGCACAGCGTGATACGTTTCGATTGCTGCAGCGTGTGGCAGCTCCTGCCACTGAGATGATGGAGATTACAGGCTCTGCTCGAGAGCTCTGGCCTGTGGGTTTAAAAGACTCCTGGCAAATCAGAGATATTTTACTGTCAGGCAGTTATACTGCTATGGAAGAGACGAAGACAATGGCAATATTGGGTTCTGGTTGAAAAATATAGCAGGAGCAATATCTAATTATGAAGGAGCTCTTTTGTATTTACATGTAGATATTTTCACAGCCCTCAGGCATGGACAGGAAAGGATGCATGACAGACTAATTGAGACTGGAGTCAGGTGGAGTTTATGGGAGGCATAAACTGGTTCTGGCAAATAACATATTTCAAGGTTGATGGCATAAGTGACTTGTGAAGTTGGATTATTTCTTTATTTCCTAGGCCGTGGAAGATTATCACAACCATGTCACAAGCATTGCTGCTGCTGTCCTAAATGAATACCACGAGCTCTTTGGGAAGCAGCTGCCTGACTGGGGAGCGATAGATCACCAAACCCTGGAGGAACAGAAGCGTCAGCTCAACTTTGAGCTCAACACCTCTGGGAAATATTTTGCTTTTAAAGAACAGCTAAAGGTAAAAAGTCCTTTTGTGCTTTTCACTTCCCTCCTTGTTTTGTCCTGGCAGTTTCTCAGTGAGGAACCACTGCTCCATGGTGGTAACTTTGGATGATGTGTTGCTCCAGAATCCCTTCCTGCCACCCGGGGCTGTGGCAGTGGGCATGAGGAGGGACAGGTCATTCCTCTAACAGAGCAGGCACCGAGCTGCTTTGGTCACACACCAAGAGAACCATTCCTGTTCCAGAGGAGAGACTCCAAAGCTGGTCACATCTGTTTTCCCCATGCTCATAGCCTGAGGAAGGCAAAGCTGACTGCTCTTGCACACTTACAGGCCACCCTGGCAGAAAAAGGGGGTTCCTCTCTCTCAGCCTTGGCCACACTCTGCCCAGACATCCTCTCTCTGTGCTGAGGGGACCAGCATTCCCACATGTTGTCCCTAAAGGGGCACTGGAGTGTCAGGGAGAGCCAGGGCTGGGAGGGGAAAGGAATTCACCTCTGCTTGCTTGTTGTGCTTTTCTTGGTGCTGGGCTGGATTTCTTCCTCAGAACTAAGTTGAAGCTTGAGGCACAATCAGCGTGTTCCAGCTCTGGATGATTAGGGAGCTGGTGGGAGGTGCAGGAGGAACCTGCCTTGTCCAACAGTCCCATGTCCCCACAGTATGCTGTAGTGAAGATTGTGAGGGAGAAATACCTGAAGACCACAGCGTTTGAGACCCAGGAGCATTTCCAGGAGTTTCTCAGTGAGCTTTACGTGTACCTGGTGGACCAGATGCACATTGCCCTGAACCAGGTAGGGAGAAGCCGGGTGACTTGGGACTCAGCTGCACTGTGGATCCAGGGTGAGACACTGTGTTCAGTGATGGCAAAGGGGACTTTTGCCTTCAAGACAGAAGCAGGCTCCTGCTTTCCTGTGCTGCAGTTATCACAGGTGGCCCCCAAGCCATGCTCAGAGGCAGGACCTGGTGCATCTTTATCCCACTGCTATGAAATCCTCATGGTGGGATTTGTGCCAGATGCCACTAGTAAAACTGCTGTAGCTGTGGTGATGGTGGTGATGGTGGCTGGGTCTGTGCCATCTGCCACTCACCCAGGCAGAGCACAGACCTTCCTCCATGAGCTGGGGTCACCAGCAAGTGACACCACAGAGGAAGTTTGTTCTTGAGCTAGGGGATGCTTTTATTTGTCACAACTGCAAATAATGGATATTGCCCTGTCCCTGCGTGGCAGAGGTACCTGGGAATGACAGGAATGTGTCCCACCACAAACAGGAGCCAGGACAACTTGACTTTCCACCTCTCCCAGCCATACCAGCTGTAGACAGCACAGTGGTGGACTGGGGGCTGCTGCCATACTGGGAGCAGATGAACTGTTTGCACTTCTCCAGGGCTAACACTCTGTCTCACTCCTCACCAATTACTCTCCAAGGATGCTGCTGTCCCCACCCCTCCATCCCGCGTAACCGAGGAGCAGCTCTGGCTCTTTGCTCGTGAAGCTGAAGTCAACAAAGACTACAAGCTGGCATCTTTCTACCACCAGCAGGTAAAGGAGCCCGTGTCCTGTCCTGTCCTGCCCATCTCCCATGTGTCTGGGCTGGCAGTCCACACCCTGTGTGTGTGACAGCTCAGCCAGCCCTGACTTGTGTAAGGAGGAAGGAGCGGAATGTGACCAGGATACTCAGGCTGAACGTGTGAGGGATTTTCTAGGGAGATGCTGCTCCCTGGAGGATATGAGACAGGCTGGGCAGGTCACTGAGGACTTCAGCCTTGAGACCAGGGGAAATAGGCTGAGCTGGTCCAAAAGGTGCACTGGGTCAGCACTGGGGACATTGGGCCCTCTAACAGGAGGCGGTCAGCTGAAGCTGGAGGACATGTGTTAGGTGAAGGAGGCTTCAAGGAAGCCAAGCATATCCCAGTTAAGGGAAACCCTAGCAAGGGCTTCACTGTGGTTAGACTGGGCTGGGGTGACCAGAGGAAATCTGTGGTTGTTCCAGAATTGTCTCCTCAGTCTGTTGTGTGTGCTGAGCATGGGTGCAGCAGTCCTCACTCCAGCAATGCTCTCTTGTGTCTAGAGGTTAGCTCAGGACCAGCACAACATCCAGTACTGGCTGGACTATGGGGCATTCTGCCTCCTGCTCAAGGATACAACCAAAGCCCGGGAGTGCTTCCATCAGGCTCTTTCTCTGGACCCCCATCACCTCCAAAGGTGCTGTGTGCTCCCGGTGGGTGGGTGGGTAGGTGCTGGGTGTCCCCCTGCAAGGCTAACCTGTCCAACCCTGTCCCCAGCTTGCTGCTCTCTGGGATTGTGGCAGTCATGCTGCAGAACCACGAAGACGCAGAGATTTTCTTTGAGGATGCCTGCTGCTTGGAGCCATCCAGCATTGTAGCCTGGACACTTTCAGGTACAAAAACAAGCCAGCCTGTGTGCTCAGGGTGTTCCTGTAGAGCCAAACATTGCTTCTGCATTGCTGGTCGAGGGAGGGGATGGTCCTGCTCTGCTCTGCACTGGGGCGGCCTCACCTCCAGCACTGGGGGCAGTTTGGGCACCACAGGAGAAAAAGGATCTAAAGCTGCTGGAGAGTGTCCAGAGGAGGGACACAACATTGGGGAAGGGTTTAGAGGGGAAGGGTGTGAGGAGAGGCTGGAGTCACTTGGTTTGTTCAGCCTGGAGAAGAGGAGACTGAGAGGAGATCTCCTGGGGGTCTAGAACTTCCTCCCAAGGGGAAGAGGAGGGGCAGGCGCTGATCTCTTCTCTCTGGCCACCAACGAATGCCAGGAGCAGAGGGAATGGCAGGAAGATGTGGCAGGGGAGGGTGAGGTTGGCCATGAGGAAAAGGTTCTTGAGGCAGAGGGTGGTGGAGCACTGGAACAGGCTCCCCAGGGAGGGGCTCATGGCACCAAGCCTGACAAGATTCCAGCAGCATTTGGCCAAGGCCCTCAGGGACATGGTGTGAATGTTGGGATTGTCCTGTGCAGGGACAGGAGTTGGAGTCCATCATCCTGGTGGGTCCCTCCCAACTCCCAATGTTCTATGATTCTGCCCTTGCTCCTCTTCTCCCTGCTCTAGTCTGAGGGCTAAGGGAAGGATTTTGCTGAGGGGTGGATGTCTGCTCATGCTGCTCTTTCTCTCTCCCACAGGTTTGTTTTATGAGCTGCAGGGTAATAATATTCAGGCAGAAATGGCCTTCCGTGAGGCTAGGAAGCTCCTGCAAGCACAGCTCGCCAGGGAGAAGAGCATCGCTGAGGCTGCTGAGGGAGAAGAAAAGAAAAAGCACATTTCTGCTGCAGGTGTGAGGTCTCCCAGCCCAGGCTCAGAGGAGCACTTGCCAGGTAACGCCGGGCAAAACCGGGAGGTGCCCTAGCACGGGCAAAGAGGGACCTCGGAGCAGTGTGGGAGATGGTGAGCAGTGGAAGGAGAGGGGAGAGAAATTTATAAGTGTTTCTAAGAGGAAAAACACCAAGTGGAATGGAAGATGATGTGGACTGTGAGCTAGAACAGACTGACCATGAACTACACCAGTGAGAGCCAACAGCAGCAAGCATGCTGCTTTAAATGATGAAGCTTTGTGAAGGCAGCACAGCCGATGCTTTGTCTTACCCACAGCCTAGCAGAGGCACCAGACTTTACATTTATTCTCCTGCCCCAGCCTAGTGCCACTGATTTCCTGGTGTGCAGGCACCAGCCAGGGCAGCTGGAGGAATTGAGCATGTTTTCTGGGGCTTTGGGAGGGTAAAGCTGCCCCTGTGACAGTTGTACTTGAAGTCAGACAGGTTTAGCTTTCAGGAAAGCTGTTGCTAATGCATCTTCTCGCCTCAATCTGTGCTTTAAGCTGACCCTTGAGGTTTGCTTAGAAACAACTGGACTTTTTGTGCTTTGGCCACCCCCAGATCTGGGGTTTGGTCCCATACAGGCTACCTAGGGAAGTGGTTGAGTGACCATCCCTGGAGGTATTTAAAAATTGGGTAGATGAGGTGCTCAGAGATCTGGTTCAGCAGTGGACAGGTCTGGTTGGACTTGATGATCCCAAAGGTCTTTTCCAACCAAATGATTCTATACACACCTCTCCTCTGTGACTTCCCAATGCAGCCTGGAAAGCACTGCCTCACCAATTCAAAGAGCAAAACACCTGCACAGCGGTGACTTTGAGCCAAAGGTTTCCTTTGGAGCCTCGCTGAGCCCAGCCTCAGCCCGAGCCAAGACTTTCTGTCCTGAATCCCAAATATTTGGCCAGGCTGTGGGAAATGTTGGCTGGCTTTATTTGTAACGTTATCAGCACTCCATGCAAAGTGCCTCATGTCATATGCCTTTTTTTACCCCTTCTGATGACAAGGGAAAGGTTATTGCCTCATTTATACCTGTTTCTAGCTTCACGTGGTAATTTTGTACTCAAAACCCCAGACCCAGGTATTGCCTCCTGCAAAGAAATTTAAGTTCTGAAAATCTGATAGATCTCCTATTTTCTGTCTTCTCCATTTCTGTGGAATCACACTAACCAAGCAAACTTATGGCAAACTCTTTGTTTCTATCTAATGGTTGTTGGGGGTTTCATTCCAGAGGAGGTTCCAGATGGCTCAGCTGACAAACTGCCAGAGGTGATGGAGGAACCAGAGGAAGAGGCAGCCCTGAAAGGTTAGGGGATGGGGGCCTGACATGGAAGGGAGAAGCCCAGTGCTGGGAGATAGCCTCGTGCAATCCATGAGGAGGGGAGTGATTTGGGAGCACTGAGCCGTGGCCATCCTGATGCCAAGGCAAGACATTGAAGGCAAGACAAGAAGCAAGGCTGCTTCTCTCTCCATAGCTGGGGGAATCTCCAAGCAAAGCAGATTTTTCACCCTAATTTTCAGAGCAGAACATCTTGGGATAGACAGCCAGTGGGTGAATGCAGCTCCCTCCCTACATGTCACTGCACCCAGCAGCCTTCATCAGCTGCTCAGATGTCTCCCTCCTGAGATGCCAGCTCTTAACCTATCCCTGTGGCTCTCCTCTGGTCGTGTGTTGTGTGATCTGCCTCCTCTACAGCTCTGGTCTCCGATGGGTGGCAGAGAGATGGTTAGTTTGGGGAGGCAGGGGCCTCGCTGGAGTTAACAGTGACAAACTTCAATCATAAATTCCATTCCTACCTCTTCTTCCTCTGAGTTTGGGCTGGAAAATGAGTGGGTCAAGAGCATAATGTCTTTTCACATCTCTTACAAAATTTAAGCCCTTTATAAAGAAATCCTGAGTGAATCTCTGCTTCAGCCTCCCCTGCCACCTCCTGGGTTTTACGCCACGTTGCTGGGATTCCTCTGTCCCCACCAGGGTCTCGGCTCCTGCTCTGGCTTCAGAAATAAAAAGCCCAATTTGGGATTGATGGAGACATGTTTTCTTGCAGCATCATCCTCTGGTTCAGGACTTAGCCAACCTCCCTGCACAATCTTCATGAAGGCCGTGGAATTCCTGATGAAAGTCAATGCCATCCAGGTCAGCTCAACGTGGAGTGGAGGAGTGGGAAGGGAGGTTTGGTCTCCTCCTTGGGTTATGACAAAGCTCCAGCAAGCCCCCTTCTTGGGCACAGAGAACAAGCTGTGGCCACCCCAGCTGCCACGTGCCAGAGGTACCAAAACCACTGCTGCCCAGAAATGCCAAACTGTGGCCAGGCAGAGTATTTGGACCAAAATGCTGGTTGGGGACAGAGTCATCTCAGGCAGGTGAGGTTCTCGGGGTGCCTCCACTCAGCACTGCTCGCTGCAGAGGGAACAGCCAAGTCAGAAACGGTGCAGACGTGCTCTTCTCTGTGTGTTCAGAGATAAGATGTGTTATTGTGATGCTTCCAAGATGCCAGTACTCCTTGTTTCAGACCCTTCTGTATGTCAGAGTAATTTTTGTGTCACCTGTGGAATGTCCCTGTCCCACACAGTGGTCTCTGGGGGATCTCTCCCACTGCCACATTACGCTGCCTGCCTTGATTTGACATTGGCTGAAAGAGTTGCCCAAAGCAAAAAAGAACTGAAAGTAATGGAGGTAAATATTCAAAGGAAGGGGGGGAAAAATATCTCCTGCCTGTTTGCTGTTGATGGAAGTCATCTAGATGAGAGTCAGTCCTCCTGCCCCGTCCTTCTGGCAGTGCCCATGGTTTGCCTGCTCTCCCAAGTCTTTCTTTAACAGGCAGAAAAATCATAGAATGGTTTGGGTTGGAAGGGACCTTCAAGCTCATCCAGTTCCAACCCCCCCGCCAGCAGCAGGGACACCTTCCACTAGACCAGGTTGCTCAAAGCCTCATCCAGCCTGGCCTTCAACACTTCCAGGGAGGAGCAGCCACAGCTTCCTTGGGCAACCTAAATCCCTCTCTCCGTTACACACACAAACCGATCCGTGTCTGTTCCCCATTTTAGGGCAGATTTTGTGCCCATCGCAGCACTTCACTGCCCCAGTTATTCATGTTCCTCTTCAAAGAGCACAGCTATTGTGTGACAACCCTAGTGCTCCAATGCTCTATGAAGTCTTGAGGAAAGACATGATTGATTCCTTGGGATCACCTTGCAACCTAAATCATTCCTGCAAATCTCAAAGAGGATGGTTCTGAGGCACTTCTGTTCTCCAACCTTGATGCACATTCCCCAGTAATTACAGAGCAGGATGTAAAAAATGTTGTAGCACCTTTGCCCAGGGCAGTGGTGGAGTCCCCAACCCTGGAGGGATTTAAAAGACGTGTAGATGGGACGTGGTTTAGTGGTGGACTTGGCAGTGTTGGGTTTATGGTTGGGCTCAATGATCTTAAGGGTCTTTTCCAACCTAAATGATTCTGTGATTCTCTGCTCTTCCTCCACAGTTTGTTCACAGAGCGCTTGCCCACGAGCTGCTGAGCCTTCAGGGAAGTGCCTCCTGTGCCTACTACCTGGCGCTGGCCCAGACTTCCTTACTGAGGGAAGATTTCTCCAAATGTGAGGAATGTCTCTATGAGGCCGTTAGGATCGACTACATGGTAATTGTGTGTGCACTGCTGGGGTGCAGAACGGTGTCCCCAAGCAGGACACTGGCCAAACACTGTAGCAGCCTGTGTTGTTGCTGCCTGTGGACCTAGAGCCCACGCTTCATTTCCACTCGAGCAATGCTAATGCCAGTCTGCAGGACTTTCTGCAGGAATTTCTGCAGGGCAGGACAA